CAGACGACAAAACGGGCGCGCAAGCCAAGGTAGTCACGCGCCTCGCCATAATGTTCGGCACACCTTTTTATGAATTGGGCACGCCTTTTGATGGCACGCCTTTTGAAAGATTGGGCACGCCTTTTGAGGGCTCGATATATCTATCTACATGTATATTTTTTGGGCAGCCTATCTACACACTCATACAGTGTCTTCTACAACGGTCAGCTTTATCACTCCCTTTGTTTCAACCTCAAATAGGTTTTTATCTTCACACCTATTTGAGTTTGAGGGGGGGTTATACATATATCATGGTGAGCATGGTTACACACCATGGGAACCACTCAAGCCACCCCATAGCGCACTCCCTAAGTCGCCTCCTTGGTGCACCACCACAAGCTTTTACAACGGTCCGACATGACCCCATAAACTGTCCCGACATTTGATTCCGGTTAGCTTTTCCAACGGTCCGACATGACCTCATAAACTGTCCCGACATTGATTCCGGTTAGCTCCTACAACAGTCTGACACAACCATACAGTGTCTTCACCAACGGTTCGACACGACCATACAGTGTCTTCTATCCTATTTTCCTGTTTTGTTACTCTCTCCAAACTCAAGTTGGCTAGTACCTATCCTCCTTGAGTTTGAGGGGGGCTGTTAGTGTATGATTAGCTTTAGCATGCTAGTGTATGATTATGTCTGTTAGTGTATAGCTTTAGCTTTATATCATGTTAGTGTATAGCTTTAGCTTTATATCATGTTAGTGTATAGCTTTAGCTTTATATCATGTTAGTGTATAGCTTTAGCTTTATATCATGTTAGTGTATAGCTTTAGCTTTATATCATGTTAGTGTATAGCTTTAGCTTTATATCATGTTAGTGTATAGCTTTAGCTTTATATCATGTTAGTGTATAGCTTTAGCTTTATATTTTATAATGTACAATGCATCACACTGTCAGTGGGCATCCAATGCTCAAATTCTCTCTATAAAAGAGAGTGCATTCCCCTTGTAAGAACACTCAATACAACATTCAATA